TCTTCTTCTTCTTCTTCTTCTTCTTCTTCTTCTTCTTCTTCTTCTTCTTCTTCAACAACAACAACAACAACAACAACAACAATAAAACAAAAATACTATAGTATAACTATTAGAGACAAAGAAAATAGCTTCCTACCTCCTATTCATTCCATTTCTTCTTTCTACCAATCCTTTTTGTCTTTTTGTTCCCCTTTTCTTCCGTGAATTCTTTCCACAATCACATTTTTTCGACATGACTACTCAACAGCCGAGGAGCTTTAAAACACCGCATATTATTCTCCACGGGTCATAACCGTTTGTTTCTATTGCTTGTTACTTGGAAAGCGAGAAAATTGAGACTATTTTGGTCGGGAATCGTACTGCTCTCGACATAAATAATGTCAGAAACAGCTGGGGGTAGGTTACTAATGTATGCATAGATCTACATGTTTACGCAAGAGCTGATATTATGTCAGCAAAGTGTTATGAAATCTCACATAAACCTCCATCGTCAACAGAAACACAACAACAGAATCACTAAAGCAGTAAAGAAAAAATGTACTTTTTAATTATAAATATGGAGTTTCAGACTTTGGTCAGTTCAGTTTGAGGAGTGCAAGCTTTCACTGGTAACTGAGGAGTTAGAAAGGAAAAGAAGACTTAAGAAGCGTATGAGATACCGTCAGAAACTGGATACAAGATAGCAGTATTCTCTTAGGGAGAGAGGCAGACAGACTACAGAGATGTTTTGGATAACGTGATCAAAATGTGGAGACCAGTGGGAGATAAAGTAACAACAATCTGTTTTTGAACTAAGAAACAACTGTATCTTCTCGTTTTTCTTTTTAAAAAACGGTCATATTATTATCCTGGCAAATGCCTTTCTGGGTTCGTTCAATCTTTGAGCTCTTGCTGTTGGAGCTACTGTGCTATGTGCCCGTTACCCGTAGTCAAAACGGTTTGCGTTTGACTGGAAGGGCTTTAAGGAGATCTTACAAGCAGCCCGTAACGACGAGTCAGCCTGAGGGTGGGCTGAAAAACATGGAGATATTTCTTTCTACACTGTATTAGGTCAACCTGTCTGTGTGCTCAACTCGGATGATATCGTTTGGAGACCGAGGCGTAAACAAGGAAGAAAGGGAAACAGACTTCAGGGACGCTTGGGATACGATCAAAAACTGAAGACATATTTGGAATAAACTTACGGCAATCTCTTGGGAAGAGAGGTAGACAGATTTTAGAGGTGTTTGGGACATGATCAGAAACTGAAGGCAAGAGTGACGTAAACTAATAGTATTCTCGTCCCAATAAAAAACTCTTTCTATTGCTGTTGCTGTTGTTGTTGTTGCTTTTTAACAGTACCGATGGATGCTTTCCAAGACACATCCACTCAATGGACTCTTGCAGTTGCTGCTGCTGTGCTGTGCGTTCTTTACGTGTTGTCCAAACAGTTTGTGTTCAGGAAAGGCAACCCTCCGCCTGGACCTCGGGGATGGTGGGGTTTTATGGAAATCTTACAAGCTAACCGTGACGACTCTCTGTACGAGGCAGCCTGGGGGTGGGCGGAAAAATATGGAGACATGACGTTCTACACTGTGTTAGGTCAGCCCGTCTGTGTGCTCAACTCGACAGATATTGTTCGGAGACTCTTCAGCTCAGACGAGTACAAAATGCTCACATCTGACCGTGAGCCGAATGTGGTTTCCGAATTTGCATGGTACAACGGGAAGGAACTTTTCTTCACACCTTATAATTCTCAGACTAGACAGAAAAGAACTTTGTTCCACAAGATGATGGGAATCTACGGGGAAGGTGTGGACAAGTTTGAGAGCGTCGTTGGTAAAGAGCTTGACCGCGTTCTGGAGGAGATGGACATTGCTAGAGCTACAGGTCAAGACGTACCCATGTCACAAATTTTGGCGAAATCTCTCAAGATTATTCTGTACATCCTGGTGAGTTGTTCTAGACCAGAGCTTGCCAACTTGGATATCACATTTTTTTAGTGGGCAATTTGGTTATTTTGGTGGGCGGTGGGAGTCTCCCAGGTTGTTACAAATCAGATGTCATTGAAGGTGTAGCATGGACATACATGCAGGTGAGCGGTAAGAAAAGATTAGCCAATCTAAGGTAACAAAAACGGACGCTGGCTATAAAAAGAAGTTCGACAAGCTCTGGTCTACCTTCAGAAAATTGTCATTAATTACAGTGTTGCCTGTACGACTGAGTCAAGCACACAAGATCGGCTCTGTGTTGAAGTTTGGTTCTCCGCAGTTCCTCTATTTTTTTACAGCTTTTTATAATTTCATCTACAATCTCCTTACCTGTATCAGGGTCTATTCTGTATCCAAGTTCTAGATAGCTGTACAGTATGTGGTCTTTACATGGCCATACAGGGTACAGGTAGAATTTATATATTATTGTTGTTTCATGTTCTAACTTTAGGAGCCATCCTAAAGTATTGTGGTTACCATCAGAGAACAGGGCCTCTCCATCCGGGATCTCGTCAAAAAGGTCTTCCTTGATGAAGTCTGTTACTTTAATATTGATATTTCAATTGACCCAAAAGGCATTGTCAGATTGTTTAGAAGTTGTATTTTAAGGCCGATTAAACTATTCTGTAAGTGTTTGTAGGTATAGGTATTTAACACCCCTATCGATACAGTTTAGATCAATAGGAGGCGGGCCACGAATTTTTCTGTCAGGACCAACAAGGGCTGAGAGGAATACAACACCCCAGCAGAAAGACCGAGGTACCTTACTCGATAAAATGTCCCCACGCATGAGAATCGAACTCGGGTCTTTTGCGTGCCACGGCGAAGCGTCTAACCGCTACCCAACAGGCGCTATTTATGGTTATTTTAAGTGTGTTGTGGAGGAAGCTTTTAGTTTTCTTCAAAAAGAGAATTAACCATCTTATTTTGATCCGTGGTTTCCTTTATTAACGTAAATCTAATTCTTGGCTCGACAGGTGAATGGCGATATGGGTTCAGAGAAAGTGAGCTACGACGTTGTCGATGTCTTGGAGCGCTACGATACCGCAGTGAATCAGATGCTCGACGTACAGACACTCACAGCGCTCTCTTTTTTCCCGGCGCTACGGAAGTTTGGGAAGTACAAGAAACTTTGCGATGAGGTTCGAGAGAGTCGCGCTGATGCTGAGAAATTTTTATTTGAGAACATCAAGGTACGAAAATATTTAAAGTGAATACTTTTTTTCTTTTAAATACAACAGAGACTGCTCTAATGGCCACCTCTATGCAAGACAATAGCCTGTGCAACCGACGACTTACCATTTCCTCCCTGCGTATTTTTAAAAAGGACTTTTGTTTGTGTTTTACCCTTTCACAGCACCCAAAAGGACTTTTCCCCCGTTGTCACCCCGTGGTCCTTCATGGTAACTTTGAAAATTGTTTTTGGACTTCTCTACCTCTTTAGTTTAACCCTAAGAAGGGATTTGTATTTACATTTTTCTCTTGTCGTCGTCCACGTTGCTGTTGTTTTTGTTTGTTGTTGTTGTTGTTGTTGTTGTTGTTGTTGTTGTTGTTGCTGTTGTTGTTGTCGTTGCTGCTGCTGCTGTTGTTGCTGTTGTCGTTGTGGTGGTTGTTGTCGCTGTTTTGTTGTTATTGTTGTTGCAGCTGACGATCATTTTTTTCGTATTTTCTGTACGTCCACACGCAAAGACAACTACTTTCCCCCTCGACAATTATTATTTTGCTGGGTTGTTTTTGAACAAATTGACTGTACCCTGTATCTATTAACCCTTGACTCGTGAGTCTCCTGTCTTCTTCGTCTAGTCCACCTACGAGCCAGGGAAGGTCCGAGGTGTGGCTGACGCTCTTTTGCACTTCCAGGGCCAGCCTGGCCATGAATGGCTCGACAACGAGCAGATCAAAGGCTTCCTGGCTTTCTCCTTTTTCGCTGGTCAGTACTCAAGTCGGTTTGGTGAGCCCTGTCCTGTTATAATGTTGAAAAAAGTAAAGTATAACCCCCCCCCCCCCCCGTGTCCATGTCGTGGAGCTATGTCAAGCTATATCCCAGGATATAGGACCAATATGTGAGGCAGTGTGGTGAAATCAGGCGCTCGTCAAAGTAATGAAAATGAAGAAATGCATTTTTCTGTCAGTGTAGCCATTTTTATCGAATTTTTGTTTGTGTTTGTTTTTGTTGTTGGTGTTAATTTTTTTGCGTGTTTTTTTTTTTCTTTTTCGTTGAACACCATTGTTGTCCAATTAAGAACACATTTCTTGGTGGAATTTTAAAGAAAAACGATCAAATGCATAAAAGATAAATTTTCCATTTCCACGGACTATCCAGCTATGGAAATAACCAAACTTTGGTGCCATTTTCTCGTTAATTCTATCTTTGAAAACAGGAGACCCCACCGTCTTCAGTTTCAAATGTCTTGACTTTTATTCCCAGGTGGGAATGGGTTCCCGGCCATAGACAGCGAAAGATCTTGTCAGTATGTTAGCGTTTTAGCGCCCATAAATGGCAGCTTGCACTGTATGCTTCCAGGAAGTTGAGGTTGTATCAGAATGCTCTCAGGTCTGATGGGGTAATAGTATAGTTTGTGTGGCGCATAAAGCTTGCTGTTGAGCGGGGGATTTGCGCTATACAAATGCTATCTGTAATTATAAAAATAGGCCTTTTTTCATCGATAGCAAGACAACTGAACAAGCTTTAAGATGATACCATTAACACAAGCCCAAAAATTGACGAGCGCCTGATTCCATCACGTCGTGACATAATTGCTTACGTAATTTATATTGTTATGAGAAAATTTTAAACTTTGATTTTCGAAGTCAACCTTATTACTTAAGACATAGTCGTGTCTCAATAACTGGATTTTTAGTTCAAGGAAGAAAACCTTTCCATACTGAGGATATGAAATAAGTTACAAATGTTTTTACTCTACCAATAACTAGAAACCAGAAAAAAAGACTTTCACCACAAGGGGGGTTTCCTCACCCGGACTGGGCCTTATCTGTGACCCTCTTTCTGATGCTGCCTACCCTCAGACAAAATTAAAGATTTTGAGTTCAATTTTCAATATTAGCCACATGTATAGATCTAGGCCTACATACTGAATAGAAAAAAAGGGGAATTAATGACATATCTCAATATGTTGCTAAAAATGATAGTTTTTCAGCCTGAGATTTCAGTTTCGATTAGATCTATATAAAAATAGGACTGGTTTTGAAGCAGAAAGCAGTTGTCTTTTATTTTGACCGCGATGGTACGTAAAAGAATTTATTCTCCATCATTGATCCCTACAAGCAATTAAAGTAATTGAACAACCAACATAAGTCCAGCACTCCCATGCTCAATAATATTACCTTATGCAGTTGCAAGCGCCGTGAAACTCTTACCAAATTGAAACACCTCGTTCCAGCTCACATGACGTCTCGATCCAGTCTACTGAACATAGTGCTGACCTTGACCCACCACCCAGAGATCGCACGTCGAATACAGGAGGAGATCGAGTCTGTGCTCGGGGATCGAATACCGCGAGTCGAGGATCGAATGAGTATGCACTATACGGAGGCCGTGATTATTGAGAATCTCAGGTTGGTGCGTTATGTGTATGTGTGTGAGAGGGGGGGGGGGGTGAGTGTCTGTGTGGGTGTGAGTGTGAGTGAGTGAGTGTGTGTGTGTGTGTTTGTGTGTGTATGTGTGTGTTTGCGTGTGTGCGTGTTTGTGTGTGTGTGTGTGTGTGTGTGTGTGTGTGTGTGTGTGTGTGTGTGTGTGTGTGTAAAGAGAGAGAGAGACAGAGAAAGACGGAGAAAGAGAGAGGCAAACGGACAGAATTGCTTAGTGAGAGAGGAACACACACACACACACACACACACACACACACACACACACACACACATACAAACATAGAGAGAGAGATGGAGAGAGAGAAAGAGAGAGCGAGAGAGAGAGAGAGAGAGAGAGAGAGAGAGAGAGAGAGAGAGAGAGAGAGAGGGGGAGAGAGAGAGAGAAAATGCAGATTTAAGGAGGGAGATTGGAAGACACAGAAATGGAAGAAGAAGGGGGAGGGGAAGGGAGGGGAAGAGTTAGAGTAGGATCTACTCGGAGTCGGCACAATTTGTCACGGGTCACACTTTTCTAATAAATTGACTTATACCAAAGAGTCTACATAACAAAAGGTCCACTCCTCTCTTTGAGCCAATTAAAAAAGTGTCATAAAATATTCGGTGGCGCCCTCTTCGCAAATGCGCACCCTTTGCGAACAGAGTTACCCTACTTGTGTTAAGAAATATCGAAGTGAAACTAACAAGTTTTTTAATAAATAAGAATTCAAATTTCGGAAGAACTCTTTTTTAAGATGGTTACGCTGACAAAAAACCTCTGCCGGAGGTAGGGCCGACTGATTTCTTCGTTTATTTGACTTTAGAAAACTGAACGAACCCGAACAGCTAATGAACAGCAGTCGATCTGCACACGCAAGGAGGTGCTATTCCTATTCTTCTTCTGGAGAAACGAAAGAAAGCCTCAAAACAGACTGCAGCGCCATCTGAAGCAAAGAGTGGACTTCCGGCGGACACTTTTTTGGCTGAGTGGACCATCTTGTTATGTGTACTATCTTTGCTTATACTTGTGATTAGTATCTTACTTACTTTTACTTTTTCATCCTTTGTTGCTGTTATAAGCGTCGAGGGGAGGTGCAATTTTCTTTGGTAGGCCAGCTCCACAGCTCTTTCAGTAGGGATATTACAATTTCTCATGGTTTCCTTGACACTTTCAATCCACCTTTTGCGTGGCCTTCCTCTTCCTTTATAGCCTGGGTGCTTGGTGTTAAAGTGCTTGTAAGTATCAAACCTTTTAAATATCATTTGCTTTGTAGTTGTAAAAAAGAGTGTAACATTCAAATAATTCTGACGGAAAACTCACCCTTTACGTCCACCCTTTCCCTTCCACCCCCTCTTCCCCTTCCGTTTTTCTTCAAAAACCCGTTTCCAGATACGTGTCACAGCTTGCTCTGAGCTCAATGAGAACTGCTCGCGAGGATATTCATATCGATGGCTACGTCATTCCTAAAGGCACTCAGGTGAGATCGGTGGGTGGAGGGTGACAATAGTAGATCTTATTTCCCTACTACTGCTGTTTTGTTTTCTGCTTGTGTGCCTCGCATTATAGGCACATGCCGGTTACTGTATATATCTTGCGGTTTTTAAAGTGTCCGATCTCTTTGACGGTGCGCTTTTCTCCAATTTGTTGTTGGTATTGTTGTTTTAATTAAATATGTCCCATGTGTTGTATGTGTTTTTACTTCCCAGTTGACGCAGACTAGATTATTTAAAGGTTAAGAGGAAGTGTGACTTTTGCTACGGCCATTGAAACCAATGTTGGCAGAGAAGAGTTTGCCGCATTTTGAGCATTCAAAAGCCCCACTTCCACTTACAGATATGTGCAGTTTGTGGGCTTCTCTCTTGGTTTCAGCCTTTCTTATTCGTGAAGCTTGACATGATTTGTTGCTCTCTGTGATTGCTGCTCTTCAACCGGGCCTATTAGATGTTTTCACATTCATTAGCTTGTGAATGTATGCAACAAGATTTGGTTGATCATCTGCAAGCTTATTATGTGAAACGAGAGTATGGTTGGTTGGCGAGTACTATGGAGTGGTTTGCTATTTTTCCCTAACAAACATCTATTATCCTTATCTGTCCTCGTGTTTATTTGTGTTTATTTTTATTTTGTGACACCTCTAATTTTCGACACTTAGATGACCTTAGTGTGTTGCAAGTGCCGTAAACTTTTTTACTAAAACTAAAACGAAAAGTGAGTAAGCTCGTTCATGTTAGTAATTACAATGTGTTCCCAGTTTCCAGTGAACCAGTGGTTCTTCCACCGTGACCCTAAGATCTGGGATGACCCCTGGAAGTTCAAGCCCGAGAGATTCTTGGACGACAAGGGCGTGGTACTACCAGCCAATCATCCTGTCCGCAAGAAGTGAGTTACTGGGTGGTTAGAGGGTGCTCTGGTGTGGTTTGCTCCTTCTTCCCTATCAAACGTCTTTCGTCCTTGTCCCTCCTCCTCCTTTTAAAAAAAATTTTTTGTCTGTTAGTCTCTTTTAACAACTCTAGTCATCGGCACTTATATAACCTAATTGTGTTGCAAATGCCATAGAACGCTTGATAAAACTAAAAGAATAAAACAAAAGTTTAAAAAGTGAGCTCTTGGGTTCTTATTTTAGCTGGTTTGATATCTGGCGCATTAATCAATGTATCGCCAACAATTACACTATTAAAACGAGTTTATTAAATGTTCGTCAACTCAGATTTACACGACTATCTTGTGTTACCGAATCTCAGTCTATTACCCGTTTTAACGTTTTGTTTTTTGTATTTGTTTTTGTATTTGTTTATTTTTCTGTTTTCTTTTTCTACAGAGTTCAGGCCTTTGGAATAGGGAACCGAATGTGTCCAGGGGAGGCGTTCGCCAGATCCCGCGTCTTCCTGTTCGTTGTGTCGATTCTCCAGAAATTTGACCTCCTTCCTCCGGAGAACGAACCTCTACCATCCTGTGACCCGAGAGACAACCTGAAGGGCGTTGTGAGACAGGCACCACCGTTCAAGTGCAGACTCCGCAACCGCCTGGACGAAGAGATCAAGGCTTAGGATTGGTCTTTTAAGTGTTGTTTTTTTACCGAGCTGTGTCTTCTTTCTTTCAACTCGAGACTTTTTGCTATTCTAGAATTCCAAAGTTCTATCAGCTCAGTACCGAGTTTTGAGAAATTTGACGTAAAATGTAAAAAGTTTGAGTTTCTCAAGACTTCCAGATTTTTCGAATGGAATTCTTTGAATATCTCGATAACGACTCCGAATAATTTTGCGATTTTGAAAGAGCAGATAGAAGATTTAGTTTCTAACGTCAATGTTTTAGTACCTCAAAACAGTCGAGAATGTCAGATAGAACTTTGTAATTCGTAATTTTGTACAGTCGACTCCTTTTGTGATGAATTCACTCAAGTTGATCTTTTCCTCGGGGTCCCAGCGTCTCATCTTGTCTACATATTATCATCCCAATGGTCAAGTTAAACTTAAGATGAGTTCATTTTTTTTCACTCCCCCGACGACATCAACTCATCTGTAGTCGACTGTATTTTGAACGGTATTCCGCAAGATATAGAGCACTGTAAACATTCTCAGAAGCTTTATGGTTTCTTTTTTTTTTACATCATTTATTTTATTTTATTTTGACTTAAACGGAGCAGTACTTTGAACTTGGAGTTGCTGTCTTGCCAGAACAGATGTAGATTTCTATGCCTAAGGTGCAACGGCAGGATGGTATTGAAATTATACTTTTGATTTTGAGATGAAGCCATGCACTTGTGTTATTGTGTGTGAACTATGACGTAGATCCTGTTTACCATGAAGCCCGCAATTTGACCCCGTTTCGACTTCTCAATGTAAGACTGTCATACTACGTCACTTTTGTTGTTGTGGGGTTGTTGTTGGGTTTTTTTTTAATATAACGTATGGAGGAGTCGCATACTAATAAAATATAAGTAGTCGATCTGGAATCAAGTAAAGGGTTAGAAAGGAAAGGTTGCACTCTACTATAGCGAGACTGGTGTTTTAATTTGCGCCCCCGTGGTGTGCACCAGTGCAGCGAAGTTCTCATAGAGAGCAAAGAGAGGCGTCAATGACAGTGCCCCCTCTAGGATATTATTATCCTTCAAGTCTATGGATGTCATTGTGGCGAGATATTATTTTGCTGCCATATACTTTGTCTTTCCTTCTAATCAGTGCATGTCATCTTGTTTTGTCTTGTATAGCCTACAAGACTAGTTTGCAACTGAAAAGATTGAGTACTCTTTGCCAGATAGTTGGTTTTGGTTGATTGTACACCTATCTGGGACCACACGAAGATACGGCGGAATTTACTTTCAGTGATCAAAGGTCGTTTTTTTATGTTTCCAAATCAATAGACCTCTAATTGATTTGTCCCAATACTGCAAGAAAATAAAAATGAACCTGCAAAGATGACAAAACAAGGTCATTTCCATTGTGAATTAAAAGGCTGCCCTTATTGATCGCCAGTTGTGTGAAAGAATTTGTAATTGTAGACATTTTAAGTATTCATAGACGCTATTCAAACCATTTAGGTGGAGGGCTGCATCGACCCTGCCTTTCAGAGCCAACCCGTGCGGAGAGGGATACGACTTCTTGCAAACAGGTGGAGATACGAGAGTTTCAAAAGGTTCTTGTCTGCAGAAAATGGTGTATAATGATATCAAATGACTTGAACCTTCGACAGGTTGCTCTGGTGATGAGAAAGCTTCAGATGTTCCAAGACTCCTCGTTGTTGTAGTTGTAGTTGTAGTTGTAGTTGTAGTTGTAGCTGTAGTTGTAGTTGTAGTAGTAGTAGTAGTAGTAGTAGTAGTAGTAGTAGTAGTAGTAGTAGTAGTTGTTGTAGTTGTTGTTGTTGTTGGTGGTGGTGGTGGTGGTGGTTTTGCTGTTGCTGTTGTTTTGTATCCTTCATACCCTTTCCGCTTGCTCGGAGTTCAGACCGCTTTTCAAACGTTCTAAAAATATAAGCGGCAAGACTATTAGTAGGTTTGATATATGGCTGTATAATTGTCAACAATTACACTGTGAAATTGAATATTTTGTGTTTTATACATTATGCAGAAGAAGTAACAGACATAAAAACTTGGATGCCTGTCAAAATTTAAAAGATTTTGTTTCCAACAAAGAGGTAAAAACTAAAACTTGATCCCAATGCCCTACTTCTTGAAACAAGTTACTAGGGTCTTTAAAAGATGACGTCATGGCCACTCACCTGTGGCCTCACAAAAGAAGACAAGGTCTTAAACCTTCAAATTATTATATAATCGTGACTACGTGTAGCAAGGAGTGGGGTTGAACATGAAATCCTTTCTTGTATCCACATGTCTCAGGACACTTTTCGCCCACAGAGTTCCGCTAAGTCCTCGCGCACATTTGGACCATTCTCTTGTCTCACAGCTATGCAGATGCAAATGTGTCACGGCGCGGTGGAATCAGGCTCTCGTCAGTTTTGAGGCATGTAGAGTTATTGGTATCATTTTTAAGCTAGTTTCTTTGAATCGCCTTGCTTTGGGTAAATGAAATACCCATTTATCTTTAATAGAAGTCGAGATATTTGTGAATGAAGGAGGTGGGGTGGGGGTGGGAGTCACTTGGTTTCAAAGGTAAAATTTGTGAGAAAATAACGCCAAAGATGAGTTATTTCCTTAGCTAGAGAGTCCATGGAAATTAAAAATTTACATTTTTTGTGCCTTTTATCATGGTTTTTCTGTAAAACACATTCAGAAATGTGTTCTTTAATGGGCATGAAAGGTGTTGAGTCCAAAAACAAAAATTCGATAAAAATTGCCAAACGGACAGAAAAATGCCAGTCTCTTTTCAATTTCATTATTTTGAGGAGCGCCTCATTTCACCTCGATGCCTCACAAATACATGTAGTATGTAGGCTGTTTTCACACGTTCATCTCTCTTCACTGCTGAGAGACGTCTTGTTATTTGATAGCCGAGCGACGAGTGGAAAATTTTCCTCGTGTTCGCCGGCCTTGTTTGGATTTTTTTTTTCAAGTATAGATCTAGTTTAAGTAAGTATTTGACTGTTCTTGCTACACACATACAATACATACTTGTGAGTGCCAGAGATTAGAGGTGTGACTAGAGAGTAGCATGCAAAAAAAAGGAGGAAAGATAAGGGGCAATAGAAGTTTGATAGAAAAGAGGGAGCATCTGCAAACCACCCAGCATTATATCTAACACATGTAGGACCCGTCGCCTGCAGCTCAGGCAAGCATGTTTAGCTGCACAGCGTTCTTGAAATTGTTGTGGAAGTTTTTATGGTTCCGCTCTGCTTAATATGATAAACGCTTAGCTGGGATATAAACGATATGTCGGATTTCCCGTGTCTTATGTGATTTTGCTGAGTTGAAAACAATGGTACACTCCACTGTGTCTAGTTTGTTGTTGTTGTTGTTGTTGTTGCTGTTGTTGTTGTTGTTGTTGTTGTTGTTGTTGTTCTTCTTCTTCTTCTTCTTCTTCTTCTTCTTCTTCTTCTTCTTCTTCTTCTTCTTCTTCTTGTTGTTGTTATAGTTATTGTTATCACACCAAAAGAAAACCAAAGCTGTGTTTGTTTTCCACCACTGAAATATCGTACCAACCTTTCCGCCATTCACTACTAAAATATTTATTTGTGAAAACATAAATGTTCTTAAACAGACTACTATCAGGACTATCATAATGTAAGGCATAATAAATATGATTAGAAGCACATACATATAATAACATTATACACTTGTTTAATAATATGTTAAAAATGTGCAGACGAAAGTGTAAATATAATATGTGCGTGGATTTATGGGTATATTAGGCATATGTCTGTGTGCAT